TGAAAACTGGTAGTGAACAACTTGAGGATGTTCAACTACCTGTAACAGAGTGAGAGTAGGCTCTTTCCACATGATCCAGAGCTGCTTATTAAGATGAGAGGATGCCTTAGTCATTCCAAACTGCCTTTTGAAGGTGTCTAAATGAGGATCATCAAGAAGTGGTTCCATAAAAGCTAAAAAGGAGGGTTTATGAGCTGCACAGAGAGTTTGGATTCTTGGGGAGGACTTACGAACACCTCGAATATTCCAAAAGATCAAAATCATTAATAGGAGGAGTGAAGAGTTCTAGCTTTGCTCCTCAGAGTCATGCTAAGAGGAGCCATAGGGGTTTTTTTCCTCTACCCTTCATGAAGGATAAAGCATTCTCTTTGAACTGCGTGAATTTTCCCTCAAGAGCAGCTATGGGGCTTTTATTCAGAAGCCTTTCCCCTTCCCCATCTGAGTGAATACACACCGGAGTGCCCGGGCTGTTGTTCTCAACCACAGTAGATAGGAGAGCTAATGAATCAATGGTGGATGTGTGTTCGTTGGAAGCTACTGCCACCTTGACCATAGTGGAGGGGGGACATGGATGCTTGGACAAGGGGGCTGCATCTTGTACGAAGTGCATGTCCCCAACCAAACAATTTGAGCTAGGTGCCTCATATGGACTTGGGGACCTTGATCTGCTAGATACCAAGGGTTTCAAAGAAGTGGGGACAATAGTATATGGAAGTGTAGTAGGTTGGCTGTCCTCCGTGTTTGGCAATATGGAGCAAGTGGCCACCCATGTTGGCTCTTTGTTGGTTGTCCTTTTGTGACTTGTTCCTTCCTTCTTACTCTGAACCCTGATCCAATCCTGACTGGATTTTGGATGGCTCTTGGTGGACTGAAGCCTCTCATTGGATGTCCCGCCAGCGAGGACTTTTCCGGCGGGCTTTGAGATTGGTTTGCAGAAGTGACCCTTCCGCTTACAGCAATTGCAGTATAAAGGGAGGTCATACAGAAGCTCCACCGTTCTTTCCCAAGTGCTTGTTCGAATCAGGATAGAAGAACGTTTGGGTTTAGAAACATCCAACTCCAAAAGGATCCTAGCCGTCTGGAAGTACCCACCACGAGCTGTGGTATCATCCATCTGGATTGGGGTTCCAAGTGCACTGGCTATGGAGAATAGGGTGCTATGTTCAGAAAGGAAAAAAGTAAGCCTTTTGAATGTAACCCAAACCAGCGATATGGGGCTGTCATTCCTTTCATCTATACTTGGATCCCATTTGGAGAGATTGAGTGTGCAGCCATCCGTTTTCCAGGAATTTCTGGATAGTAAGCGAATGAATTCGCTACGCAAATTGAGATTGATGATAACTTGAGATTTGCTGATGGCAGTGATGCGAAAACCTCCTTTGAACCCTCTCTTCTTCAGTGATAACCCGATGTCTTCCGGAGAGAGTGCTCCATTGAAACTGGCTTTGATAGCATGAGGGAAAATCTCCCTTAATTTGGAGATGTCCTCATTGTTAAGCTCAATCACCGGGTCTCCATGTTTGGACAGCGAGACCTTGCCCAACTGCTGTGTGGCCTTAGTTTTGAAGAGATCTGAGAACAATTTCAGTGGCCTGCCGGTGGTCTTCGCCGGAAAATCCTCTCTCTCTCCTGCCATCATATATATATATATATATATATACACACACACACACACACATACATACATACACATATTTGAGTTATTTTACTAAAGTAAAAAATTATATATATATATATATATATATATATATATATATATATATATATATATATATATATATATATATATATATATATATATATATATATATATATATATATATACACACACACACACACACACATACATACACATATTTGAGTTATTTTACTAAATTAAAAAATTATATATATATGTGTGTGTGTGTGTGTGTGTGTGTGTGGCGAACACTACTAAAAATGAGGAGGGAATCTTGAATTGGGAACCAACCTCTGATAAACTCTTTAGTTTATCTAGTGCTTATGACATTTGTAG